TTTTATGGTATTTTATTGTGCCATTAATCTTGACAAGAAAATATCTATTTTCCGTCCACCAAAGAAGTATACCCCAATTAATATAAATCCTACAGGATGGTTAACATACATGTCCTGCCATTAAGGATAGTGATACTCACCATTCTTCGCCGTCAGACCGTTCAACTCGTCCCTTGCTCTTTGTGGCAGAGTGGGCCGAGGGAGGAGCAGTACTACTCATAGTTTGGATCTTTGACTGGACGGGCTGTCTTGAAAACTAACGGTAAAAAGATAGCAGGTCTAGTTTTGGTAGGGAGGTATCTGATGGACTGACAGTATAGATGAACAGGAAAGATGGATGAGAAAGTAGATTATAAGGCTCGGGTCTATTCATATATTTATGGGAATAGCATGTCATCATTTCAAGTGTCTACGTCGATTACGTCGTCTACTTGGATTTGCCCCTTAGTCGATGATGCCAGCCGCAACTCTATCTAGCCGTTCGACCACCAAACGTAAAACCTTCTTCCCCATTATTGGCCCTATACCTTTTCAGACCAAGGAAGGGAAAAATAGTAGCATCAGTAGAAGAGTGCCATGATAAGGTTAAGCTATATGCTACGTAGGAACCGATTAATGAAGGCTGCTACCAATGCCAGTCTGTATCTCACCTTCCCCTATTGTTCTCCCTCGTATTCCCTTTGATTGCAGAAAGGCGTTGGACGTATCTTTGGTATAGTAATAAGGAGGAAAAGCACAGGGAAGAGAGAAGGATTTAGGCGGTGGTTTTTTGTTTATGAAAAACATGGCGTTATCCGATTATCGACCCGTAGAGTCGACGCTGGTGACTTCTTCTTGGCATTGCAAGTCGCCATCAGCAACATGAGCCGCAACTGCACTCCGTACTCAGGCATTTACCAGTCTCTCATCTTCTCGGTCCCTCATATTCTTCCTTTTTCCCCTGTCCGGGTACGTTTATATCTGATACTGCTTAAGACGCAGCAGTAGATAAATAAAAAATTAATGGATTGACGTCTGGATAAACTTGGCGGTGCGGCGTTGATCTTCCGTTAAAGTGGGACCAGATGGGTCGTTAGTCAGCTCAATTGAGCAAGGATAAGGGGCAGGGTGGATGGAAGGTCTAGGAGGTCTACCGCGGGTGAAGTGGTAAACATTCCTCTGGTAAGGACTAACTAAGAGATCAGAACATAAACAAGTATGACGATGGTCATTCAGCTTAAGGACCCAGAAGGATTAATACTGAGTCTTCAATATATTCCTTTTGTAGATTTCTTTTCAGGTAAGCAGGTTGTAGAAAGAAGCAAAAGGGGATAAAATATACTGATGATCCTTGTTGGCTGGCCTAATCTGTATCTTTAAACTTTTCCGAGTATGACTTCTTACTTCCCAAGTCCAATCGCAATATCACCCCCCTTCTTCTGATATCTGAGTAGAACTGTTCTGTTATTTTCATAGTACCTATTGCATGCAGTTGGAACTCACTCTCTCTATATGTAATGTGACTACCTATTGTAAAATGAACATGCCAACCTTAAGGTAAAGGATCATATAGAGTCAACACCAAGGTCAACACCACTATTGGTATCAGCATCACCATCAACAACAGTTACGCCGATTATATCGGTGACAGTCCTTCCATTATAAACTCCAAAAGTAATCTGCAGACCTTGAGATCCTCCCAGGCTTTTGCTTATCTTCCGCTGCATGCAATGATATCCGTTGCTTCACTCTTTCCTCTTCGGGACGAGGACTATTGCTTATATAATATACTTATCTCATCTCTGAGTCATCCATTAGTCATCCATTAGTCATGTACTGTCACTGGTTATTGTAACTTACGATACCGTAACAAAACCACCAAAAGTCAAAAAAATAGAAGTAAAAAAAAAAAAAAAAAACTTCTTTTTTTTTTCCGCACAAGAAGACGACGACGAAGTTCGACGTTCGACTTCAACTTCAACTTGCAACCACCAACAACAACTATCAACAGTCCACAAAACCAACGAAGAAACACCCGGAAGCGCTTCAGAACCCCCTGTTGCGCCTCTTTCCTTCTTTCCAGGAAACAGGGCGCTCCGCGGTCTCGCTCAGCGTCCTTTTTGCCCGCCTGTCTGACCGTGGTCTACTCGTCTTTCTCTTATACTTCTTACAGGCAGGGCTCTTCTGCGGTGAGTGGCAGCGCTCGTTATCCCTGTGCTGTCGCTATGTCATCTGTGGCCCTCTCGATCTTTGCGCCGTCTCCCAGTGGCTCTTTTTTGCGCCGGAGTTGCCGCCTCTGCATGGGCGCTGGAAAGTCGGGCTCTTGCCGCACTGGACCCTCCGCTCCCTCCCCCCATCACCATCAATATCTATCCCTTATCTTCCCCTATTAGCACTGCTGAAAACTGCTGTGAGAGGCCCAGCTAACAGATCTAGTCGCAGCATCTCGAGTTGGAGCTGGAATCTCTTGAGATCCTCTGTTCACCTCGACCTTCCCACATCTCACCTGCGACGCCGCTACGAACCCCCTACACAATACAGCCCAACAACTGCCCTGTTTAATGACATCTGTCTCCCGGCCTAACCTCCGCTTCGGCGCGGTCGAAGGCTCTCCTAGGATGGGACCGCCTGCCGTCCCAGCTAACCAGCAACAGCAGCCACAGCAAGCACAGCAGCAGCAACAACCACAGGCCTCGTCCCTTGGTGTAGGCCCTTCAAGCAACTCGCGGGGCCCTTCGCCGCATGCTTCTCCTTCTCCCATTCCACAGCCCTTGGCCAGCGGTGGTCGTCCCCCGTCGTCACTCCAGGGCTCAGGGAATAACTTGAATTTCATAGCTGATATGGACCAAAATGACCAGGTTGGTTTTTTTTTTTTCTTTTTTTTTCTTTTTTACCCTTTTCATTTTATTTTTATTTTTTTTTCTACCTTTTTTGATATATAAGAAAAAAAATATAATATATATATATATATATATATATATATATAAAACTGCATTAACACTTAATAGCGAAACATGAGGCCAAACCACCAGCCTTATAGGCCGCATCCCAATGCTCGAGGCGGTCCAAACATGAATCCTCGATACAACAATACCCAGCAACGACCATACAATGGCTATCCAAACCCTCCTCATCAGCACCGGCATCAAAACCATCACCAGCACCAACACCAACACCAGCATCAGCATCAGCACCAGCACCAACACCAGCACCAGCAGCCCGGATCGAGCCCCGCGCTCTCCCACACGAACCCGGCTACTCCTCAGATGGCTCCCGTGCCCCTGACAAATCCGCAGATGCAGGCCCAGCAGTATGGTGCTTATCCGCAGCCCATGGCAGCTCAACAAGTAAATCAGCATCCTTTCCCTCCTCCTTCCTCTTCTGCCAAGTTTCACGGCAAACGCCGCTCTTCTTATCAAAAAAAGCACTATTCTTCCTCACATTATACACCTGCTCCTCCCTATTTTCACTACCCCCATCACAATGCCCCGATTCCTCTTCCTGCTCCACCGTTACCACCACCTCCTCCTCCCCAATTGACCAATCAATCATATCAGCCCCCTTCTTATGACCCTCCATCTCTCCCTTCTCAACCACTACCACTTCCTACTCCTTCACCAATTTCTACACTGGAGCGACAGCCACACGAAGAGCAGCAGCAACCTCCTTCTCACATATCCCTCTCGCCAGAAAGTGGCAATTTTGAACATCTTCTAACAAAATTCAAATCTCAGGGCTACCCTCCTTACGATAACAATGCCTACTATTACCCTGGCCAATACGGCATGCAGCCCATGCCCATGGTCCCCTCGTCTCCCCGAAACACTTACGGAATCCCCCAACAGCCTTATATGCCCGGCCACTATGCAGCTCAGCCACACCAGATGCCCCAGGGTGTACCAATCGCCAGATCTTCCTCTCAGTTATCTGCTACTGACCGGCCTGGCAGCAGCCTGAGCCAGGTCCCTCCAGCTCCTGGCCCGGGCGGTCCAGGACACCACCACACAAATAGCCGTAGCAACAACAATGGAAGCCCCGTCAACCAGTCCCCGTTCGTTGTCCCAAAGAAGCACAGCCCTCTGATCATCCGTGACCCCAGCAGCGGCTCCGTCGTAAAGCCGTCAAGCTCGCCTGCTCGTGGATCCGCTTCTCCTGCTAAGCCGGGTGTTACACCTACTTCCACCCCGCCACCTCGCACCGCCAGCCGCGGAGAACCAGATGCTACCGATGCCAAGTCCCAAACCGGAGAGGAAAAGAAGCAGAGCTTCCAGAATGCTGTTGTTCAGAGTCTTCGGGAGAAGGAAGCTGCTGCTTCCAAGGCCGAGGAAAAGACTGCTGCCGAAAAGCCCGCCTCCAAGCCAGAAGCGACCCCTGCCCCAGCTCCCGCTCCCGCTCAAGCTCAAGCTGAAGCTCCAGCCCCAGAGCCAGTTCCAGCTGCTACTACCACTCCGGCAAAGGAAGAAGAGAAGAAGGAGAAGCCGGTCGTAAATGAGCCCGCCAAGGCCGTTGAGGAGGACGAAATCGATTATGATGCTATTGAGAGGGAAATGGCTGAGATTGAAGCCCGAGAAGCCGCCGCTGAAAAGGCCTACCAAGAAAAGAAGGCCAAGGAGAAGGCCGAAGCAGCCCTCAAGGAAAAAGAGAGAGCTGCCGCTGAGGAGGAGGCGCTCAAGAAAGCTGAGCGCGAAGCTGAGGCTGCTGAGGAAGCACGTATCAAGAAACTCGAGTCCGGCGAGAACGAGGCAGACAGAAAGGAGCGCGAATCTCTCTTTGCCTCGCTTAGAGGCAAATCAGCTACCCCAGCAGAGAGCCCAGCTGTTGCGACTCCCGAGAGCGGCGCCGCAACTCCAGTCTCTGATACCTCCATGGGACCACCACAGAAACTTCTAGCCGGTGGTGTTGGAAAGCGTGAAAAACCAGCCTCTCTCAAGCTCGAGACAAACAAGCAGGTTGAACCACCACAGCCTAGCGCTGCTATGAAATCTCTGCACTCCGCCCGATTTCTCGCAGATCCAAGCAATGTCTCTTACCCACCCTCAATTGTTTCTCCCAACCCAGCACTTAACAGCAACGCCCCCGCAGACCGCAAGTTCAAATACAACAAGGAATTCTTGCTGCAGTTCCAGAACGTTTTCAAGGAGAAGCCCTCCGTCGACTGGGATGCCCGCGTCCGCGAGACTGTTGGCGATGGATCCGCTGATTCTGCCCGTACCCCCGTACGCACTCCTGGCCCTCGATCGGGTGCTAGCCGTGGCCCTGCCCAGGGCCCCATGATGGGCCACTTCAACCAGCCTGTACGGACACAAACACTACCCCCTGGCTCCGATCGGTTCCCCGTCATGAACGCGCCCCGAGGCTCGTCCAAGGGCGGCAACCCATTCGGCCAATTCGGTCCTCTCAACCCCATGGGTGCCCGATCTGCTTCTGCTGCTGGCTCGCAGCTTGGTGGCTCCCGTAACCCAAGCCACAGAGGTGCTCGCACTGGAAGCAGACAGCAGAAGAAGAAGGAAGAGGAATTGAGCAAGACAATGCCTCTGACTGCCAATGCCGACATCAAGCCTCTTAACACTTCCACCACCGGCTGGAAACCACGCAGCATAGGCCAGAAGGGACCCACCCTCGCTCCAGACGGCCATCTACCGCCTGATGTTGTACAGGGTAAGGTCAAGAGTAACTTGAACAAGATGACACCCGAAAACTTCGACAAGATATCCGGCCAAATCCTCGACATTGTTGCTCAATCCAAGGACGAATCTGATGGCCGCACCCTCCGACAAGTCATCCAGCTCACTTTTGAAAAGGCTACTGACGAAGCCCACTGGGCATCCATGTACGCCAAGTTCTGCATGCGTATGCACGAGAGCATGAGCCCCGAAATCAAGGACGAGAATATCCGCGATCGCAACGGCACAATAGTAGCCGGAGGCAGCTTGTTCCGCAAATACCTACTTAATCGTTGTCAAGAAGAGTTCGAGCGAGGTTGGAAAGTCAACATGCCCGAGAAACCCGAGGGTGTCACCGAAGAAGTTGCTATGATGTCCGATGAATACTACAAGGCTGCGGCTGCCAAGCGACGTGGTCTGGGTCTAGTCAAGTTCATTGGTGAGCTGTTCAAGCTGGGCATGTTGACGGAACGAATTATGCATGATTGTGTTAAGAGACTAGTCGATTATGACGGTGTACCTGATGAGGCCGAGGTAGAGAGTTTGGCCAGTTTGTTGAGAACTATTGGTGCTAGTTTGGATAGCTCTGAGAAGGGCCATGCGATGATGGATGCATACTTCGCCCGTATCAAGTTGATGATGGATACAACCGAATTGCAAAGCAGACATCGCTTCATGCTTATGGTACGTCCATTCTCCCTCTTTTATCATACATGTCAAATTCTGGTCTGCTGAGTACTAATTTGATAACTATAGGACGTTATTGATCTACGGAAAGCCAACTGGATATCAAAGGATGCTGACAAGGGTCCCAAGACTATCGCTGAGATCAGAGAAGATGTATGCCCCCTTCTGGTTCCCTTAACGTACTTTTATATATGTTTGTATGCTAACTTTTGCAGGCTGCCCGCGCTCAACAAGAACAAGAAGCCGAAAGAGCCCGCCAACAAGCCAGCAGAGGCGGTGGCGGTGGTAGTGGCCGCATGCACCTTGGCCGTGGTGACGCCCGTAACTTCAGCGGTTACGGCGCCCAAGTACCCCCACCAGATTACTCCAACAAAGTCGGTAGCGATGATCTACGTCGTCTAAAGACAGGCAGAAACACAAACCAGCCTGCTTCCTTCAGTCCATCTGGCCTGCTTGGCTCGAGGAGCGGAAGCGGACGAAGAAATCTAGGACCTGGAGGAAATCTTGTGCGAGGTGGCGAGGATAGCGGCGCAAGCAGCCGGACTGGAACACCGCCAGCCGGAAAGGAGAAGAAAGATGAGTCTTCTCAGAATGCATTCGGGTGAGTGCAACATACCTTCTACTACGGAACGCATATGCGCACGATGCTAACAGATTTGATTGATAGTGCCTTAGCAGCTCTGGACGCAGGCGATTCCTTAGCAACTTCCCCATAGCCGTACTTAGACCTTTCCGTTGCAGTCTCAAAACAAATATGAATGCATCATATCATTTTCACAAAATTCGAGCCCGTCGTACTAATTTTAATCTCCTTCCGCCTTCACCGCCACGCCATCACTACCTCCCTCGGCTTCTTCTCTCCCGTTTACTTCTCACGTTTACTTCGCCCCTGCATGTCATGTTCCATCCTCTTTTTGTCATATCACTGTCTCGTCCCGTTCTTGTCTATCTAGTTTCCGCCTTTCAAAAGCAATATATGCACCGTATACCCCGTTCCAGAAGCCAGAGTAGACCCAACGACTTCATTTTTCACCCTCCATACCCGAAACTCCTGCAAGGCTTCTCTCATCCACCCCTCAAACACCTCATGAGACCGCAACTGCTGGCCAACCACGCACAGCGTAGGTCTCTCGGGCCGTTCCTCGCCCACTGACGGGCGCAAGCGACATATATCAGCACACGTCGCCACGAACGGGGCAATTAATGCATCGTTGTATATACAATCGCATGCAACCAGTAGGTCGAAGCCGGGGTCATCTTCAGCAACGTCAGTGCCGATCGAACGTTTCAGCATATCAGGCGAATCCAACTCCCAATCCAACGGGACGAATTTGATTTTCTCCGGCACTCCAGCGCCGCTATAGTCGCCGGAACCGCTTTCATCATCTCCTCGGCGAGCAGGGCTGTTTCGCCGTTCACGCTCTGGCCGGGGGTGATGATGGTGATGGTGATGTTTACCACCCTTTCGCTCAATCCTTTTGCCAGACCTATTGCCCGTTGAACCTGCATATGAAGACGGAGAACCCATCTTCCCATTCGTATGCAGGTTCTCATTGAATAGCTTCCGAACATACTCTTGATCAGTCGCAGCGTAACACCCTACCTTCGGTCCAAGGGATATCGCCAGCACCGCTGAAGTACCGCACCCCAGCTCGACGACAGCCGATTCCGAGTTCAAAACGGATGACTTCCAAAGGGGGTTGTCCTTCTTGCAGAGCCATTCTGCCAGTTTGGGAGTAACTTGCCAGAGAACTATTCCTGTTATCAGTATTTTCCTTTTTCATTTTCTTTCCTCTTTCTTTGCTTTCTAATTCAGTTCAGTTCAGCTCAGTTAGGTTGTGTGTTTGTTCGTTTAGTTGTAGTTTTTTTCCTCCATGTGTTTTGTAACCGTGTCATGTTAGGTAGTGAAAAATTTGAACGGGTATTTCGCTAATGATTGCTCGAACATCCCATGCCAACCAACCACTGGATAGATGTAACGGTAATAGATATATGGACGTGTACGTACCGGCGCCTGTAGTTCCGCCTGTTCTCTTCGAGGATAAAATGGTTGGCGATTGGCGGATGGTTAACTCCTCTCCGCCAACGGTGAGCTCGACAGTGTTTGAACGAGGATCAACAAAGCCCAAGTTACTCGAGGGTATAGGGTGTGAGAATTGGATAAAAGCATCTAAGACGGTCAGATAATGCAAAGAAGGTGCCATTTGACTGATTTATGCATAGCTACCGTCTTCTGCGTCTTCAACCTCGTGTCCAATGCTACCCAGCAGACCGAGGAGGTCCATGACGAACGAATGTGGCGTATTGTCAGCTGCTGGCGATTGTACCTGACATGTAGATGTTTCTCTCGCTTAGAATCTGATCAAATGGCATGTCTGCGTCTGTTGAGATGTGTCTGGAGCACTGGATGGTGTCAGTGTAGTTGCTAAGTCGTTTTGGCTGGGTTATCCAGCTTTTTTCTCTAGGGCGGAAAAGTCGCTAACTACTAGCTAAAAGTATAAAATGTGATAATGGAATATGGAAAATATGAGAATTCATAAAATATATGTTCATTCGTTTATTCATTCAAAAGCTATGTACATGTCTGAATATTCTATATAATATCAAGACGAAGAAGAAAAGATCAGGCTATTAATTTACCAGCGGTAACGGGCTGGTGGGCCGTTGTATCGGAGGGAGTACACACCACGCTCAATGCTGTTGAGGAGGATGTATCCGCTCTTGAAGTATGGGTAGGTGCTCCAGCTGCCGTGGAAAGAGACCTCTCCGTTCATGTGGTCATCCTCGGGGTGGCAGTCGAAGAAACCGGCTTCCTTGAACTGAGAGCCATCGGGCTTTCGGTCAATGGAGCTGACGTCGACGATGCGGAGACCAGAGCCGTAGTTGGACTGGTAGGTTAGGCCGTTGAGAACATACTGGTTGTGGTCAATGGACTGGGCAGGGGACTGGTAGAAGCCGGTGTACTTGGGCTTAGCGAGCTGCTTGATGTCGAAGATGTAGGTGGTGGTATGGTTCTTGCCAAGGGCAGTGCCGTCCTTCTCGTCGAGCTCGTCGTCGAGGAGCAGGTAGGTCATCTTCTTGGGGTCGGCGAGCCAGCCCTGATGGGTGTAGGCAGAGCCCTGGTATGGGGTCTTGGAAATGATCTTGGGGTTCTGCTTATCGGTAACATCGTAGATGGTGAGGGAGTCTTCATTGTAGCCGAAGCAGATTTCCTTGCCCTTGTACTGCTGATCGGGACCAGTGTAGATGACGCATTGAGCTGGATGTATATTAGTATGGTTCGGCTCAATGATATGCCTTGGATCACAACTCACCATCATGAACGTATCCGTCCGCGTTGGCGCAGCCACGGGAAGTTGGCTTGCTTGGGTCAGAAACATCGACCATGAACAGACCGCCGGCACACTCGGTCTTTCTGCCGGTTCCAACGGCATAGATCATCTTAGTCGCCTCGTGGTGGACGATGTTGTGGGAGCTGCCGAAGCCGCTGAAGAAAGCGGTCATGTCATCCTTGATGGAGAAGGTCTTTGGCTCCTTGAGATCGAGCAGCTATATGCCTCATTAGCAACTTACTATCGACTACCAGGAATCCGAAAATCTAGCTTACCTTGCGCATGTCAAAGACTTGGAGACCGTGGTCACGAGACTCGGCTCCAATGTAGACGTATCCGTCAATGACCTTCATGTCACGCCAGATACTGGACACAGTCTGAGTCGGCAGTCGGCCCTTATACTCAAGTCTTCCATCCTTGAGAACCTCAACGAAAGCAGTTCCATCGGTCTGACCGATGGCACCGAATTCACGGCCGTCCCTCGAGGTCCAACCTGTTACCTAGTCAGTATTTGGCCTTCCGGCTAACGCATTGCGTATTGAGGCAACACTTGACTTACCCCAGACATCGTTACCCTCACGAGTAGTGCTGCCCATTTCCTGGTGGGTAAGGAAACCGTGCTGGTCAACCTTGTTGCAGGAATATTCTCCAGACTTGCCGTGTCTGCAAGGAACAAACTTGTTGGTAGAGTTGCCATATCGTCCAGGAGCGAACATTCCCTTAGCTCTGTACTCTTCACGCTCAGAGACCTTCATGGACATCAGTCTGTTCATGGCAAACTCATTGGCGGCAGAGGCCAGGCCAGCTGCAGCAAGCAGCGAGACAGAAACGGAGAACTTCATCTTGATCGACAGCAAACAACTCTTGAGGTGGAGATGATGATGAGTTAGAGGGGATGGAGGAGAGAAAGGGAAATATTTCTAAAAGATGCCAAAGGCGGATGGCCATCTTTATAGTAACGATTGTCGTAGGACGCTCTCCCGTCAATCCCGTCAGTCCCGTCTCATCTCCGTGGTTAACAAGATACGGTGGTATACACCAGTCCCACAGAAAAGCAAAGTTAATATAGAATTATTCTATTTTGATTCCTTGCTTGTGCTCTCCAGCTTGTTATCTCGACGTTGCAAGGAATATCCCCGAGGCCCATGAGCTTTGCTAGGGTCCTGCTGGCTGCAACGTCAAGACACTATGCAAAGGCAAAGGCAAACTCCAGAGAGGGTAAAAACGTAATTCCCCAGGTTACAGCACGAGCGTGGTGACAAGTCTGACATGTCAAGATACAAACTGCTTAGCAGACCTTTGCCATCTGATCACGACGTCGAGCCTTAGACCCGCACGTAGCCGTGATGGTGTGCTTTAGTTGGTCACGCCGAAATGTTTCAGCATCCATTGGAAGAAGAAACGAAGGACTGACTAACACTTTGAGGACCTTCACAGAAGCGATAGAATCTGGGGTATCAATGATGGTAGAACAGGGAGCGAAGGCGGATGGAAAACAGCGAAAGTGCACTGCGGAAAGCTAAGCGATGGAAATGTTCCATGCCAAGTTATCTTTTGCCAGGATGTGAGAGTTCACAGGCCCTTCTGCTTTACGAGATACCCCATCTCAGCCGTTGTTCGCCATACATATCTGCTGTTCGGAAAATCTGACTTTGGCTGCGTGCCTAGTGCTCGTCCTCTCGTGCCCCTAGACAAAAAGGAGTATCGGACTGGCTTGCTGCCTGCCAAGTCAACATCTCCATTTTCTGGGGGAGGAGAGGAGGTCATACTCCGGAGTTTGCGAGCCAAGTGGAGAATTCTAATCTCGTTACGAGCGGTCAAAGATATTGCTATGTTTGAAGCTTCCGGGAAAATATTGGAGGCCCTTGGATTTGATTCATGTTGCCTCCCGCGGCTGACTCTGGGGACTAAGTTAGTTATCCCTTGGTCCGGCCTGCCCTGAAATTGGCATTGATTCGAGTCACTCTAGCTTTTGCGCGGTGTCCAGATAGACGCACCCCGCATGTGAAATACTTTGAGCTTTTTCGTATATATAAGCAAGTATTCTGCCTGGAACAGAGAGTTATACTTTAAGCTGCGAGGCTAATGTCGCAGATCCCCTCTCCCAACGATGACTGGTGGCTGGACGGGATGGATAAAAGTGGGCATTTTTAACTTTCGTTTCTTCCTGTGTCTTGAGATCACACTCTGTGTTGACCTCCTTGAACGAGCCTAGTGTGGCAACGATAATCGCCATTATTTCGTGGGCTGCAGTGCAGGTCCAAATTTCTTAGGACTTCGCGATGTGGTCAAGGCGATGCTCAAGGATTGGAAACGAAGCATTTCGATCGACGTTGGAGATCCCAGGGAGAACCCAGATGGCTGGGATGAAATTTGATACTTAAGGTATAAGGCAACTGTCCAATCATGCATGGAAGTTGTTCAGGTAGTTTCTTTCCGGTTCTCTGCGTTTGCGTTCTCTATCATCGCACGGGTGGCTTGGAGCCACACTGAGCCTTCTTGCATTGACAGACCCCCTCTTTTCCCCCTTTCGCAGGTACGGGTTGTCAGAGTTAGACGCTAGTCGACTAGTATGGGGGGTTAGTGTGGTTTACCCCTGGTTTCCACGAAAAGAGACTCATCTTGGGGGTTGTTGGTGAAGAGAGGCTGTGTGGAGGCTGCGGAGATACTTGCCTGGAAGAGTAGATGGCGTCTTGAGAGAGGAAACCCTTCCCCCAGAGACCAAGGATACGGATACCGTTTAAGTCTGCAGCCGTACTGTGCCCAACAGGTTCTCACTGCAGAACCGGGGAAGCTGGTCACGTTTGACGTCGTAGGCCAGATTGAAATTGTTTGCATTCCGATATCCATTCCGATAAGTGTTGAAGAATATATTAACTGATAGAAAACTAATCCTGCGATAAGACAAGTGCGATAGTCATGGTTGATTAAATGGTTGGTGCCATCCACGGTGGCATGGCCCACTTTGCTGACGATTCAGGGCCTTCTATACGGCTTTCAGCTTCTTGACTAGACCTTAATACGTTAGCTGGATTTGTATAAAGACGGAGATGTTGATATCGTCATTTAAGAATGGCGCTGTGATTTATAAATGCGGTCGCTTGATTCGGACCACTGTGCATGTGTTGCAAGTCTAGGACAGTCTTGCCGAAGTCTTGATATCGTTCAGTCGAGGATAATTCATGCATGATTCACGTAAGAAATGGGGTTTGCATCTAGGGTTTGCAGGCATATCCCTGAGGTCGCGAGCCCCTCACCTGACCAAGTGAGGAAGGGTTTTCTAAAAAGAGCAAGCATCCAGGCCTGGGCATCTACGAGCCCGATCCTGGGGAAAGGATGCCGAGAAGCCGGATAGGAAGAGGTTCGGGAGAAGGCCTTGCACACCCATTCCTGAAGTAATAAAATTACTTGACTCCATATCAATAACTAGAAGATTGGTCCCGTAAGCCTTTTTTGGCCAGTGAAAGTAAACATGAAGAGTATAATAAAGAGAAAGGTAAGAGGTGAAGAGATATTGATTAGCAATATTGCTAATCCCCAGGTCGGGTCCATCCCCGCACTCGTATGTCAGTAGGCCCGTTGGATAATCCTGGCAAGTAAGGCAGTCCAGGATACAACATGACTAGCTGGCTGTAAGTGTTAATAACAGGGTAAAGTAATAACCGAATAGTTATAGACTCCCTGCTACTACGCTAGCTATGTCATCATGTCCACGGACGAAGGAAAAAAGAGGAGGAAAGGAAGAAAGAAGGTATCCTAGATTAGAAAAGAGCCACGGAAAACCGGAGAAACGGACAACAAACCAGGGAAGCCAGAGGAAGAGCGAGGAATGAAGAGCCGTGTTAATTGGGCATGCCGCACTCCTCGCAGCTGCATGGGGGGCAGTCGCCCAACTCTGTGCCGCAACTCCAGCAATCCGGCAATGCTCCGCAACCAGGGGAAGGCGAGCGTGGAATAGCAGCCTCCAGTTGCTGCTGTTGTTCTTGCTGGTGTTTCTTCTGGCTGCCTTGGTATGTAGTAGTTGTAGATGCGGCCGGCCGTGATATCTTCTCTAGCTGTGTCGGCTTGACTGGTTCTCTCTTCGCCTTGAGAACCTTGAACTTGGCCGTGGCTGTCACCTTTGAAAGGCGGTTCAAAGATACCGGCTCCAGAGCAGACTTGACACCGACATCGGTGTGACGGCCTTGTTTGCATAGGGTATTTAAATTTTCTTTAGTCGTCTTTGGCTGAGCTGCCTTTGTAGGTGTTGCGGTCTGGTGTGCTGGCGGCATCTTGGAAGCGCGTATACTGGTCTTCCTCAGGCTCCGTCCTGGCTCTGGCTGTCCTGCTGGATGTCACTGCACTGAGATATGTCCTTTTAAAGGGTCCTCTGTAGGGTATCTTGAACGCTCTTTTATGCTGTCGAACCTGGTGGGAAGTTCCTCGTTCCTCTCTGCAGTCAGCTCAGCCAACCTACCTCGACGTCATCTTCTCTTCAACCCTTGGCTAGTGAAATGACCGTGACAAACAAGCAGGTTTTGCGTATTTACTTCACTCCTATCTCCTCCGCCTGCGTCTTCGTCTTCGTCTTCGTCTTTGACGTCGCGAGTTTGTGTTTTTATAGAGAAAAATCAAGGAAAAAAGAAAAAAAAAAATATTATAAATATTTTGCTCACGCTGGCTATCCCAAAGAGGAAATAAGCAACTACATCGACGATTTAGAGAGAAAACACGCAGCAGCGACGATAAAAGACGATGAAGATGATGAAGTTGATGAAGTTGATGAAGATGAAGAAGACAATGCAGAGGTGACAGAGGACGTTGAAGCTGGGGATGGCGGAAAGGGCGAAGAATAAGCTGCCTCCCCCAACGCTGTCACTGACGCTGACTATGAGTTACTCTACAGCAAGATCACTGCCAAACCGACGAGATCGAGACGTGCCTGGCAGTGACACGCCGGAACGCCTGTCGTGACGGACTGGTTAGTGAGACACGAGCTGCCGAGGATGCAGCACAAGATCGGATCTATCACTGGCAGCCAGATCTGCGGCAAGCTTCCTAGTTGACCAACAGAATAACATACGATGCTTCACTTGAACACTCCATAAAGAGTCATGATGTTCAATCAATAACACTCGCCATGTTGCTTTGCCTTTTTGCCAGCCTGGATGAGTTGCTCTTTGATATAGCAACGCCACGAACTGCTAGCCGTGTTGGCCCGAACTATATACAACTGCTCCGGGGTAGAGTAGTCCGCCTGGCCGTCGGCCAAGTCGCTGCCTGCGAACCCAAGGACCTTGGAGTTCCCGACTGATTGGCTACAAATAGCCGACTGGGACCAAAGAGGTAGAGCAAGCGGTTGATGGCTCGCTCAACGGCCTGTCTGGGTGCAAATAAACCGGGTGCTAGTCCTGGCAGAGGCGGACGCCAGGGCGGGAGAACCAGCGAACCCTGAGCTGGACTGGCCGGATTAGCAGGAAGTCTCTCTGCTGTCCTTTTGCGGGAGAAGGGGTCCATGTTTGCTTTTGCTGGCTGTTTGGAGGGAAACGGGGAAGCAAAGTGACTGGCCGTCCGCTGGCTTTGCCAAAGCGATAGAGCGCCATGATAGACCTGATAGAACGGGAGCAGAGACAACTAGAGCAAACGGGCTGAGTCTGTCTCTTTCTTCTCTATATATTTAGCTGTCTCCTTTTACTCCGTACTGTGTTCTTTTTCTCTGATGCATCCATCCCGCCCGTTGCTTGCCAGTAGTTTAGTGGCTTTTAAACTCGCCTGGCAAGAAAAACCCATCTCCATCTGCATCTCCACCCAGGGGGGCTCCTCTTCTCCTCCTCCCAACAACCTCAACAAAGTCAACCAGCTAGCTCGGTTCGTTACCTGCTCGACTACGGAGCACTTGGCCGGTGAAGACGCAGCAGACGACGCCATCGATCATCACTGCTAACCAGTCGCCGGAACAAAGA